AAGGAAGCTCCATGCTCGGAGAAATTTGAGATCAGAATCAGAAATTTGGGATCAAAAGAAGCTCCGTAGTCAGAGAAATTTGGGAACAGAAGCACCTCAGACAGGGAAATTTGGGATCAGAGGAGGTTCCATGGTCGGGGAAATTTGGGATCAGAAACTCCTCAGTCAGAGAGATTTGGGATCAGAGGAGCCTCCTCAGTCAGAAAGATTTGGGATCAGAGGAGGCTCTGTGCTTGGGGAAATTTGGGAACGGATGAAGCTCTGGGGTCAGAGAAATTTGGGATCAGAAGCTCCTCAGTCGGGGATATTTGGGATCAGAGGAAGCTCCATGGTCTGGGATATTTGGGATCAGGGAAGGCTCCTCCGTTAGAGAGATTTGGGATCAGGGGAGGCTCTGTAGCCAGAGGAATGTGGGATCAGAGGAGGCTCYGTGCTCGGGGAAATTTGGGAACGGAGGAAGTTTCTCAGTCAGGGAGATTTGGGATCAGAGGAGGTTCCATGGTAGGGGAAATTTGGGATCAGAAGCTCCTCAGTCAGAAAGATTTGGGGTCAGAGGAAGCCCCGTGCTCAGAGAAATTTGAGATGAGAATCAGAAATTTGGGATCAAAAGAAGCTCCGTAGTCAGAGAAATTTGGGAACAGAAGCACTTCAGTCAGGGAGATTTGGGATCAGAGGAGGTTCCATGGTCAGGGAAATTTGGGATCAGAAACTCCTCAGTCAGGGAGATTTAGGATCAGGGGAGGCTCCTCCATTGGAGAGATTTGGGATCAGAGGAAGCTCTGTGGCTGGAGGGGTTTGAGATCAGAATCAGAAATTTGGGATCAGAAGCTCCTCAGTCGGGGATATTTGGGAACAAAGGAAGCTCCGTGCTCAGGGATATTTGGGATCAGAAGCTCCTCAGGGAAGAGCGATTTCCACCCGTCCTTTCCCTTTCCATCTCCCAGCACCACCAGTTTGCACCGGGACATSGAKGGGCCACCCCTAAATCCCYCTGRAACCCCCGGGAAYGCTCCGGGAACGCTCCAGRACCCCATAACCGCTGTGGGGTCGGGATGGGGCCGATCCCCCCTTTCCGTGCCCGGGAGCAGCCGAGCCATCGGGGCGGGGGACAGCGATTGTCACATCCCCCCCGAGCTGTCCCCGTCACACGTGTCCTGTCCCCTACAGCCGCTCCCTAAAAGCCTTTCCCTGTATCCGTGTCCATCCCATAAATATTTGATCCCGGATAAACGGGAACGTCACCGCAGCGGGGACAGGTGACACCCCCAGGGGATCTGGAGAGCCTCGGGTGTGAAAATGGTGTTCCTGAGGATCGGGATCGGGATTGGGATCGGGGGGTTGGCGGGGAGGGGTTCCTGCTGTGACCCCCAAAATCCCGGATTTGGGATGGTGAGATTGGGTTTGGGGTGGTGGGACTGGTTTGGGATGGCGAGATTGAGTTTAGGGTTAGGTTTGGGATGCTGGGATCAGGTTTGGGATTGTGGGATTGGGTTTGGGGTCATGTTTGGGATGCTGGGATCAGGTTTGGGATTGTGGGATTGGGTTTGGGGTCATGTTTGGGATGCTGGGATCGGGTTTGGGATGGAGAGATTGAGTTTGGGGTGCTGGGATTGGGTTTGCAGTGGTGGGATAAGGTTTGGGATGGTAGAATTGGGTTTGGAGTGGTGGGATTGGGTTTGGGATGGGGGGATCGAGTTTGGGGTCAGGTTTGCGATGGCAGGATCAGGTTTGGGATGGGGGGATTGGGTTTGGGATGATGGGGTTGGGTTTGGGATGGCGGGATGAGGTTTGGGATGGCGGGATCAGTTTTGGGGTACTGGGATCAGGTTTGGGATCATGGGATTGTGTTTGGGGTGCTGGGATCAGTTTTGGAATGGTGGGATCAGGTTTGGGATGGCAGGATCAGGTTTGGGATCGGGTTTGGGATGGAGGGATTGCGTTTGGGATGGAGGGATTGGGTTTGGGATCAGATTTGGGATTCGGGACTCAGGTTTGGGATGGCAGAATCAGGTTTTTGAGTTGGCAGGATCAGGTTTGGGATCAGCTTTGGGATGGCAAGATTGGGTTGGGATGCCAGGATCAGATTTGGGATGGTGGGTTCAGGTTTAGGATAGCAGAACTCGGGTTTTGAGTTGGCAGGATCGGATTTGGGATCAGCTTTGGGATGGGGGGATCGGGTTTGGGATCAGGTTTGGGATGCCAGGATCGGGTTTGGGATTGGGCTCAGGACGGTGGGATCAGCTTCGGGATGGTGGGATTTGGTTTGGGATGGTAGGATTGGGTTTAGGGTGGCAGGATTCAGACGGGGAAGCTCAGGTTTGGGATGGCAGAATCAGGTTTTTGGGTTGGCAGGATAGGGTTTGGGGTTGGGTTTGGGATCAGTAATGGGGACACCAGGGCAGAGCCACCCCGATCCATCCTCACCCATCCGCAGGCTCTGCATTCCGGGCTCCARCAGCATCGCCATGGCCCCGCTCCTGTGGGACACAGAGGGGACAAAATCCATCCCCGTGTCCCCTCAGCATCCCCTCACTGTCCCCTTGGTGTCCCCTCACTGTCCCCTCACTGTCCCCAGCCCTGACCACCCCAAATCCTCACCAAGGACGGGCTTTTTAGGGTTTGCAGGAGGCGACCCCAAATCCCAGTTCTGGGTGGGGCGTACGGGCGGCCGCCCCCATTTGGGACACACGCGATTGTCACCACTGTGGGGACAGGGACCCGACCCCGCTGGGGGGAAACCGCCACCCCGGCACATTTTTGGGGCCGATTTAGGAAAAATCCCAAATTATTTTCCGTGGTCGAAGGGATCCTCGCAGCCTGGACCCGTTCCAAACCCTCATCCTGGGATAAACCCCCCCTGTTCCTGGCTCCTTCCTGAGCTCAAATCCCATAAATTCGGGGGTTTGGGATGGGGCCAAACCCCAAACTGAACCCATCCGCCCCCTCTTCCCAAAAAAAAACCCCTCGGGACACAACGGCCCTGGGAATGCGGGGTCCGGCTCCGGCCACCCAGGGGTGGCACTGAGGGGAGGGGTCCCAGGGGCTTTTTCACAAAAAATGGGGATTTTCCACCAAAAAAGGAGGA